CCATAATTATCCTAATTCAAGATTTTCATCACGATACTCTTCCCAAGACACTCAATCCCTATTATTACCTTTCTAAACTTTCTAATCAACTATCCAATAAGTTTTAGAACTAAAAATAAAAATTTCGACCCTCAAACAGAAAAGGTTCCAAATCGACCACTCTCATTACCCATAATTATCCTATTCAAAATCTTCATTGCGACACGTCTCCCAAGAAACCCAAACCCTACCAACATTTTTCTAAACACCCTAATTGGCCATCCATCAAATTTTAGACCTAAAAATACCCATTTTACCCCTCATACAAATAAGACTCCAAATCAAGCCCTCTCATTGGTTGTAGTTAACGTAATTCAAAATCTTCATCGAGGCACTCCTCCTAAGAAACCCAAACCCTACCAAACCATTACCTTTCTAAACCTTTTGAAAAACCATTCAATAAATTTAGACCTAAAATACCCATGTTTAGTTTTAGATCTCATTGATTGCCAAATTAAATTTTTAACCCCAATATAGAATATACAATAATGCAAAAAAAAAAAATCTCATATGGAAAATGACAACTTTTTGGGATTTTTAAAGGATAAGACCTTGAGAAATTTCTAAAAAAAGGAGAATAGGAAGTAATGTAAAAGAGAAGAGTAAAAATAAAGGTGAATCAAATTGAGATTTTTTTAAGAGAATAAACTTTCGAAAATCTTTAAACCTTAAATTCATTGTGCAATGCCCATTGCTAATTATCAAAAAAAGGGTAAATTATAGACTAATTCCCTATACTTTAGGGGTAGTGGAAATTACCCCTTGAACTTTCATTTGCAACAAAGACCCCTTACACTTTTAAATTTCAACAAAGGCCCCCTCCCATTAAGTTAAAATTTAACTTACCAAAATATTCTTTAGGCTTAGTTTGGAAGGAATACAAATATAAATATATACAAAATACATGGTTTTGCACTCTACATATTTGTATTTGTACTCCATCCAAATTGAGCCTTAAGAAACTTCTATAAAATAGAAATTACAATAACAAAAAACCAAAAACTTCTATGGAAACTTAGAATTGCAAGAAATATAATATGCAGTTAATATCAATTAAACCAGTGACAAATGAAAGTAGAAAAATAGTAAAAATTGTTAAAGAAGTGTAATTAGGGAATTTCAAAGTTGAGTCACATTAGAATTTTTTTTCTTTTTTAAAGTTAATGGAGAGGGCTTGTTGCAAATAAAATATTTGGGTTAATTACAAGGACCCCCCATACTATGGGGTCAATGGCAAAGACCACCTATACTTTAATTTACAACAAAGACCCCTTTGAACTTTAGTTGTTAGACAAAGATTTCCCTCCTTTAGTGTTCTATTAGTTAACTTCGAAAAAGATTCTCGTTTGGCTGTTTAAAGTTTTTTAAATGCCTAAACTACCCTTTTTGACGTGAAAACACTTGCCTTAGGACCAAAGTGAAAATGGTCACGAACAATGAAGTGGCTATTGATGACACTTGTTGTAACTCCTAGTAGTGGCAGTGGCACGGGATCACAGCTTCAAAGGATTTCGAAGAGAGAAAGAGCAGAAAGTTACAAACATCTCCATTATTTGATTTTATAGACATCTCTGGTTGCTTGTTCTTTGTCAATATTTCCTATGCTCTTGTCAAAGAATGACCCTCACCGCCCGAGCTATTAGACAGTGTATGCCCTTAGCTCCAACCAGATTGATGTACAGATACATTTATTGTAAATGAATAAAAGTACATTATTGTTTAATGTTGTTATTGGTATGTTTTTGTGAAATTACCCCTTAAAATGGACATTTATGATACTCGTGTTAGTTTATAATGATCTTAGCCGTTGGATAGACTTGGGGAGTTTATCCTACAAAGGCTGACACTAATGTGCTACCAAAGAAGTTGGGGCAGTTTGTCTCAACTGCTAGGGTTAGACCCAAAGCACATGCAGTGTGTGTTTAGTTAAAACACTGAACCCGGACCACTTTCCTATTATGCCCTAGACCTTAGAGATTGATGGGCAAAACTAGAAAGTTACACATAACCCCTATACTTGATTATGGTACTACACTAGGTGTTGGATTGGGTTGTCTTTGATATGTCAATCAGTGAGATCCATTGAGGGTCAAAACCTAGGTATGTTGGGGCAGTCTAAGAATTCACTTGAGTGGGTGATCATAGTTATAGGATCGTCCCCTTTGTCAGACAAAATGAATGTAAGGCTTACACTCTCTTTGATGGAAACCTAAACTGTCAACAGTGGATTTCAACTGTGTTTGATATTTGGTTTTGCAAAATATATTTATATGATATATATATATATATATATTATGTTTTATAAACAAATGTTTGCAAAAGTTTTTAATTCACGGGATCCATCCGAGCAGAGAGTGTGATCATTATGGGCCGAGAGGTTAAGTGTAAGAGACCATTACAGGGCTGATTACCCGACGAGCTTTATCTTACTTAAGCCCATTATCCTTGGGTCTTCATAGGATGGATGAATTCAATGATCATTTAAGTGTAAATGTTGGGCCCATTTTGAGCCCATAGTGATGTGCCCAGGGTTCACTGCGTTTAGTAGTGAATTCGGCTAAGATTTTTCACAGAGGCTAGACCGAACCCATGTGGACTTATGTGAGGTCATTGTGGGGTCCCACGCCATACAAATCAGGCCTAAGTTGGCCATGCAACACCCTTGGGTCATGAGCCTTATAGTTGATGGGCCTAAGGCCCATAATTAATATAATTAATTAAGTTGTCATGTGACATGGGGCGAATTTGAGTTTGGAAGTGGGTATGGAGCACCATCCTCTTAAGAGGATAAGGCTTATCTCTTAATAGAGTCCAGATCCAAATTAGATTTGGATAATCTCCTAATTTGATTAGGAGAAGTGCTCTATAAAGAGATAAAAGAAGAAGAGTAATCCAATGAATTAAGGATTCCATCTTTTGTGAAACATTCCATTCTTTCTTTAAAAAAGTGGCATAATCTTTTATGCCACATAATGGATGAATTCTCATTCACTCAATTTCTTTTATTTCTGACTATATAGTTTCATGCAAGCTATATTGGGCATAAGTAAAGATAAAGTGCAATTTAATTTTATAAAGATTTTTGCATAACACACCACACTCAACTTTAATAGAATTATGGAGTAGAGTGAAACTTTTGTTCTTAAACTTAAAAGCTAGAGGAATTAAGTTTAGGAACTAAAATAAGGTTTCTCTTAAATGTAGGTACATAAATTGTATCTACTAAGTCTAGATGAAAGCCGGTATCCAAAATGAGACAATATGTCCCTACGGCTTCAACATCTATCTCTATTCCATTGCCAACGGTTATGGTGCGTTTTCCCTTATGCATCTGTTGACTTGTCAGAAAGCCTTGCAGAGAAACGACAACATGAGTTGTAGCTCCTATATCCACCCATCATGTATTAGATGGTGCGCTAACCAAATAGGATTAAGAAAACATAAAGGCAAAATTCTTACCTTTCTTGTTGAGCCATGCCACATATTTGGGGAATTCTTTCTTTATGTGTCCTTTCTTTTTATAGAAAAAGTAACGAGCTTTATGATCCCCACCTTCTATAGATACGGCCATTTCTTTGCCCTTCCTTCAAACATTTCACTTTTAAGCCTTTCTTCTTCTTGAATACACATGGCGATCAGCTCGCTCATGTTCTATTTCTCTTTTTGTGTATTATAGTTGATCTTAAATGGACCAAATTGTGCAAGAAGAGAAATCATAATGAAGAGCACAAGAAAACCTTCGGATATTTCCATATCCATTCCTTTTATCCGGTTTGCCATGTCACTCATCTTCATAATGTTCTCATGTACCCCACTACCACCATTTGCTTTTAAATAATCCATTTACTTTCCTTTTAGTGGAGCCAGCAAAGTGTTTTTCTATTGCCTTTAAATAATCCATTTGCTTTCCTTTTAAGGAATTGCACCACGGATTGTAGTGAAAGTGGTGATCCTTATGATCATAAGACTCATCCAGTTAGAGCGTTCCCACTTTTCATAAAGTGCCTTTTTCTCACTAGTATTGGCACCAGTAATTTTAGCGAGTTTTTTCTATTCTAATTGCAAGGTCCAAATCCATGCACAGACCACCCAACTAGACGGCCATCGTTATTTATCTAACTAACTAGTTCGTCGTGACTTTGTAGAGTTTGGATCTTTTCATGGTGAAGAGGTTTGTGCCGTTTGGTCGAGTTCAGTGGAAATCACTTGAATGAGGGGTCCAGATGTAGTAGGTACATTAGGTAAGCACAATGAGTGAGCACGTAATAGCTGTATGAAACATGTCCCAGTTAATATGTCTTTCATCCAAACTTTTTTGCTCTGTTAGACAAAAATTATCCATTATTTTATTATTTTTGTCAAAATAATTAAAAATAAAAAACAATGAAAAAAGAAAACATAAATGAGTCCCAACTCCCAACATGTTTAGGTTTTCCTTTTTCATTGTTTTTATTTTTAATTATTTTGATTAAGATAATAAAATAATAGATAATTTCTGTCTAACATAATAAAAACGTTTGGATGAAATGCACATTAACTAGGACATGTGTCACACAACTATTACATGTTCACCCATTGTGCTTACCTAACATGCCTACTACATCCAGATCCCTAATGAGTGTTTCACTAGCTCTTGTAAAAAGTAATGAAGGTATTTTTGGGTCAGTTAGGTTTTAACAAAAAAATTACATGAAAAGAAAATAGGGAAAATTTAGTGAGGCATTTTAGTAACTTAATGCTTTTCGTTATCTGATTTAACAACCGAGAGGTATTTGTCGCAATTTAAAAAATTTAAGGGTGTTTGTCACAAATTATAAGAGGTCTTTGTCATTGACTCCATACTACAGGGGAATTTTTGTAATTTACCGAAAATTTTCAAGGGGTAATTGCCACTGCCCAAAGTAGTTCATCTAAAGTATAAAATGCAAAACGTCATCGATTTCGTTGGTTGCACCCGTGATCCTTGACCCCGTTCCCCCGTTAAGATTCTCCACACTGAATTAGGTGAAGACAAAAATAAAAAAAAGAATCAAAGAAAGCTCTGCCAAACTCGTCACTAAAACAGCTGCGATGCTTGGACTCTTTCCCTAGATTGAATCGAGTGTAATATCTATCCATAAAAAATCGAGTGTTCGAACTTTATTCGATTAAATGGCATCTCCCCTTCTCAGAAGGTCGCTAGGTGGACTTCGGGCGATTCGTTCTTCGATTGCTTATTCACAGAAGCCACAAATATACAGTTCTTTTGTTAATGTAAGTGTTCGAATCTCTGTTTCCAATCCTTGAAAGCATGTATTCGTTTATGGATATGTAGCATAAAATTGGTTGGTTTTGATTCTTATCATCGATTGAGCCTCTATAATGGGCTTCTGCATTACTACCTCTTCATGATTGGTTACACTCGAATGATCGATTTCTCTGCGTTGGGTTTCATGATTTCTGGTTATTACCTTTTTTTTTACACTTTGTACGATGGTTCGACAATGCAAATTCTTTTGGTCCGTGGTTTTGTTCCGAAATTATTTTCTTTTTAGCATTCTGTGATTCTTTGCTAACGCGTTTATTTTTATTTTATTTAACTTGATCATAGTGTTTATTTACATAGATAAATGAATTTTGAGAATGCCTTTTACTTTCTAGGATTGATGTCTTTTCCCCGCCACCGCTTAATGATTGCCTTTAAGAATTCTACTGATTCTGGACTGTCCTTGTTTGCCCAAACCTTTTTTTTGTCTTTTTCCTTGTTTTGGCTGAGCTCTTATAATGTTGCTTTTTTTCCCCTCTAGAGGAACGCATTTTGCAGACAGGTTGACATTTCTTCTTTGTTGCCAAATATTGGTTTGGCTCGTTGTGCAATGGCTTCTTCAATATCTGGATCAAAAGCTGCATTCTCAACTCAATCTGTGTCTACTAAGGAACCTGTTGTTTCTGTTGATTGGCTTCATGCTAACCTCAGGGTGCCTGATGTTAAGGTGCTTTCTTGTTGCAACTGTATCTATATCTTCCTTTTTCATTTTCAAATTTGGTTAATGAATCTTTTCACTTGTTAGAAAAATTCTCTGCATTGTTTATGGGCAAGTGGTTAGTTTTGTTCAATCATCTTCAAGGGTTAATTCTTTTTCAGAGTAATATGAATTTCTCTCTTCTTGCTTTTGGCAACAAAGTCAGCAAAAGAAGGGCATGGGCAAATACATAAGGTATTTAAAATGCAATATATACATGTATGTGTGTGAATATGTATAGTAGTTAAGCCCTCTGTGTGCCTTGCACATTGAAGGTAAATCTTTTTTATTTATTAAAACTTCTGCACAAAATCATAGGTTCACAACTATCCACTACAAAAGGTGAATCAAGGAGTGAACGTTTAGAATCCAAAGTTTATTTATTTTTTGATAAATGAGTTTTAGAATCCAAAGATTCAAGAGATGGGAATATGAAACAATAATTTATTACTAATATATGTACTTAATGTAATTTTTACTTGAAGGAAAATAATCATTGAGGAGAATCAATAATTATATTGTTGAATTGGATGTGCAAAGTTGTCCTTGAAAAATTGGGATTTAGTTGCACAGTGCCATTTTTTATAGGTAAAAGACCATTACCCAATGTTGGTCCAAGCTATCTGGTGTCTTGGGAGGGGTGAACTGGATACGATGCTAACCTTTGGCTTTTTTCTTTCTGCACAAAATTGCCATTCTCAGAATTGAATCCGTGTTCTCACACTTTTCAGCTGTTTCACTTGGTCAAACAACCAAAAGATTCTGAGTTTGATACTCCTGGATACAGTTGTAGTTTTCTTAGATCGAATATTGCTCTGTCAGAATTACTGCAAGAAATGATCTACAATCAAGTGTTGAATCATAAGCCGGCCATCCTAAGATCTCTCTCTCTCTTACAGCCTTAGACATTTCAAATTTGAAAATATGAGGAAGTTGGGTGATCAATTCATCCTGATGGTTGAGGAGAAATAGCATTTGATTATATACTTCCACCTGTAGTTGGCTTGAGAGGCAGGTTGTTTCAAACTAAGGACCAACCTGTGGCTGGGTTTTGTTTGGAGAGACAAGGTTGCTTAGGTCCTGCCACTCCAAATCAGAGCTTTTGATTGGGAAGTTTTGCACAAGAAAATAAATACCTGTGAGATGCTGTGATTAATGCAAAAAAAGGTATGTTCCCTGACATGTTATCTTGTGAAGGGATGATCCGTGGCAAATGAATAAATCATCTTTTTATCTCTTGAATTTATGTTTCCGAGGCTTAGGGGCATCCCCTTTCTTAGATATCTCCATTCTTTTTGAGGCCAAGTTCTTTTCTCCTCCTACCATAAGATGGAAATCTCATGGAGATGTATCTATGCTGCAGTTGTTTGTAGCATGTAGGAAGATTTTGATTGGGAAATCTTGCACAAAGAAAATAAATACTTGTGAAATGTTTCAATCAATGCAGCATTTCTCATTGTGTGTGGGAATTATTATTTGCTCTTTTTGACTACAGGTGGTCCCTGTGCAGTGACATGGAAAACCCATTTAAGACCTCACTCTTTAATCCAAGAAGAAGGGTTTTAAGGTTTTGTGGAGGTGTACAAGAGCTGCCATCCTATGGACTCTGTAGGAAGAGAGAAATGTGAGAATTTTCAATGAAAAGCGAAGACTTAAGGAGGCAGCTATTAGGACTGGTCTATCAAGAATGGTGAATTGGATTAAAACCCTTGAATTGTTTGCACCTTTTCCAAAAATGATATAATTAGAGGGTGTCGGGTTATAGCAAATTCTTCCATGTCAAGGGTTGTTAATCCAAGGGAGTGGACTTCTTCTATGTTGAACCAAATTAAGTTCAGTTTTGATGTTCGTAGCCTTGGAAATCCTGGTCCAGTAGCAATAGGAGGATGCTTTAGAGACAGTGTAGGTTTCATTTTATTGATTTTCTCAGGGCTGATAGGTGTGTGTAACTCTCCAAGGGCAGAATTGCTTGCTGCACTTCAGAGCCTAGAATTGGGAAGAGCTTGAATGTACAGAACGTAGTGGTTGAAAGGGAGTCAAAGACAGTAGTGAAATGGCTAAATAATGACAGCACTTCAGAGCCTAAGCTTTGTATTGTACACAACATTCTTTGATCATATTCAATAAAATTTCACTGTTACTTATCAGGGAAAAAAAGTTTCAATTGATTCAAAAAGATTGGGTTTTGCCTCTTCATATGTGCATCTTGGGAAGGGGCGGTTAGTGGTGAATATATTTTTTGATCATTAAGTACTCAAATTTTATATTAGTTGTAGAAAAGATGATGGACAACATTTCAATGGTTTTGAACTGAGTACAACCAATATGGTGCACCAACCAACAAGTGCTACTCAATTAAACAACAAGAAGGGAAACACTAAAACAAACAAACTCAGATCTCCTCATCAAAATAATCTTCCTTCCCTCCTTCCTCTTTAATAAAAGAAGAATTTATTAAAGAAAAAAGGGAAACTGAGTACAACCAATATGGTACTAAGATAGCACCAACCAACAAGTGCAAAACAAGCATACTCAATTAAACAACAAGAAGGGAAACACTAAAACAAACAAACTCAGATCTCCTCATCAAAATAATCTTCCTTCCCTCCTTCCTCATTCCAAGTTTCTCCCCCTTCCTCAACTCTGGTCTTCTTAAGACTCTCGTCCCTCTTATTTTCTCGTAGTCTTCTAAAGGACTTCTCGAAAAAGCCTCACCTCCCAAGAAGAAAAGACCCAAAGACTTGCCAACCTCTACCTCCCTGTCAACAAGCACATGTAGATCAACTCTTCCTTGTTGCTCCTCCTCCCCTTTTGATCCCCCCCCCCTAAGAGTATTCAAAGGTAAATCAGGGCTTCTTTCAGGATTCTACACCTTCCAACCTTCCCAAATGTAGCCTCAAGCCTTGTACTTCTGGGTTTAATTCTTTTTCTTTTGCACAATTTTTTAAATTTGTTAGTCAGGCCTGCCCCCACAAGGCCATCTTTCAGACACGAGAACACTTTAGTAACATGCACTAAATGGGTTTTATTTGCAGCCCTTGATTTTTTTCAGATTTCCTAATGAAGCATCAAACTCAGAATTTTTGAATTCCTTCCTTCTACGCCCTAAATCTACACCCAGCTTTCCAACCAGCAACTTCTGCAACCAGAGTATTCCCACCATCTTCATAAAAAATGTGCTGTGGCTCAAACAAAAGCCACACTATATCTGTGCTGCACCTGCCCCATCCTCCTTGTCTTCTTTGGCCTTACCCTTCCTAGTTCTCACCTCCCCCTCCACAACCAAGACCACTCCATTTCCAAAGCAAACCACGGCCCCCTTCTCCACCCCTGAAAGAAACCAACTCTCATTCCACATACTTTGTCCCTATGTGCCTGAACTGGGGCACCAAGAGAAGATACACAACCACATTGGGGTTCTGACTCCTGTGGCAGAACTGTGACTTCATCTTCCTGTGGCTCACCATTGAAGAACCGAACTAAGCATCCTGCTGGCTGGTCGAAAACATGGGCTTGAACATGAGAAGATTCACCAGGATCATTAGCACCATTTGAAGCAACACTCCTAAGATTTGAGCTAGCAAACTTCGTAATCACCCAGACCCATTTTTCATTCCTTCTTTTTCGAATGTTACATACGACCTTTCCCCTTATCGAGATGCCTCTCACCTTAAAACCAGAAAAAAGACTTAACTCTGAGCCTACTCTTCTTATGCCCCCTTATCTTATCTGCTCTAGAAACAAATCTGGAAGTTAAGATATTCTTATCAAAATGGTGGTTCCCACTCAACTGTTTAAATCCATCGAGAGCCGGGGAAGACTTTTCATCTCCCTGTCTTGAAAGATCCCCATTAGGCTCTTCAACTCCCTCCCTTCTCTCAAGGTTCTCCGCCCCGTGTCCTTCATTAAATAAAACCACCTCATCCCTCTAGCTGAAATTACCTTTCTACCCCCAAACGCCCCTGCCCATCGTCTTCCACCTCTGGATATCTCTTTGTCTTCCTTCTATGCTCTCATCTTTGTAAAATATGTATAGTTCCTGTTTTTTCTAATAGAAATGATATTTCATGTTTCTGAATTCTGATAAAAAAATGAAATTTGTTTTAAATCCATATCCATACAATTGATTACAAGATACCCTATGCCTATTGGATCAGTCACTTTGAGAGAACATGGTAACTAACTTGAACTCTGATACCGACTGATGTAGGATTGATGAATGATTGAATGCCTTTTGATGATAAAACTTATGGTTGTTGATGACTGTAATGGGTTCTTGAAGGATAAGAAGAGAAATAGTGAGAGAAAGAAGAGAAAGGAAACCTAGAATCACTCGAAGGCATGGGAATCACTCACCATAGGTAGCATAGTCTGTAGGAACTAAATTGAACTTCATTGATCTTTGTGTAAAACGTTCATACATATTAATAGATTATTATAAGATTCTAGTAGGATTCATAAATAGAAACCTACTAAATTGCCACTATACTATTGCAATTCAAAGACACTTTTCTTTTTGGTAGAACCAATAACCCTACTTATTTAATGACTGAAATGTTTAACATAAACCAACTAGAAGACAAATCAAACTAATAGACTAGGCCCCACAGGCCCATGTTAAAATGACCAAAATATCTTAACTAGATATATCAAACTAATATATTAGGCTCCACAGGCTCATGTTAAAATGACCAAAATACCCTACTGTCCAAAAATACAGGAATACAAAATTTCAGAAAACTCCAAGCTTGACTCTTCAGTTCCTGCATCAAAGCTATTGTTATTGTATTAAGTATTATTATGACCTAGCCATGAAAATACATATGCTTCTATTTACTTTCTTCAGCTTCTGATGTTTGGTTTGTTACATTAAGGTGTTAGATGCTTCCTGGTACATGCCAGATGAGCAGAGGAATCCATTTCAAGAATACCAGGTACTGATGTTGATTTCGTATTGACTTTTGATTTTTTTTTAAGGGTTAATTACTTATATATACCCTGTATGTTTGAGAAGCTACTTATATATACCCTGAACTTTCAAAACCAACTTAAACATGCCTTTTTGGATGGCCCCACATAACATAAATAGGCTCTCCAATAAAACGCTTAGGACCTTTGTAGCCATCATTAAAATTTTTGATAATTCCAAGTTTATCCTTCTATTTTGAAAGCACTGTTGATCTTCTACTTCAAATTTCTGAACCGAAACCCTAGACTGATCTTTCTACTCTTCTACTCCACAAATTTAAGTTATTGACCATTTTTTTCAAGGCTGCCATTTAAGTATTATGTATTTTGCATTGTTTCGTTGTATTAGCTATAGCATTCTCCAGTATATTGTATTATTGTTTTACCTGTTCAGGTTCAACTTGTGGCATTGACTTTAGTGTTTATTATTTTATACAGGTTGCACACATTCCTGGTGCTTTATTCTTTGATGTAGATGGAATATCAGATCAAACTACAAATGTGAGATTTTTTCCCTTGGCATATATCACATGTTTTCCACATTTATACAGAGGTTCTAATATATCTTACTAAAGTAAAAAAGAGTGGTGATTAGGACATGTCCTGCTTTTGTAAATGGAGCACATCCCTTGTGAAAAGACAAAAGGTACCCCTATTAATCCCTTGTGGAAAGAAAATACCCCTATTAAAATTAGCACTAGGGTATTCCTGTCTGTTGAAAACTTGAAATAAGGAATTTTGCCTATATACTTTGGATATGCCTGGTTTATCAACAATGGGATCTCCTCCAATCACCATGTAAAGAATTTTGATTACCTTTTAAACAGAGAGATTTGCCTTTTGTATGTTGTAACTAATCATAAAAAGAAAAAAAGAAGAGTTGTACATTATTCTTAATTCTTCAAATTCATAATTATTGTGAACTAAGTGTCTTTGCATAGTTTATATTTTATTTAAATAAAACACCCTATTTACAATTATAAACAAATCCTCTTTACTCAAGCTAGTGGTTGGAGTTCAGCAATTTAAACTGGCTTATCAAATGACCCCCCAAAAATTAAATCATATTCTTATAACAAAGACCATGAGAGACCCAGCATCTGTGGGTGCTAGGGAAAAGGCCCTTGTTTTGATGTTCAATGTTGAAAAGAGTAGACTCTCTGGTATATTCAGAATTCAGAAAGCCCCAAGAAGATGAATTAGTTAAATTTATTATTGTTCCTGAGACGAAGATGGAAAGGTTCGTGGAGGCTGCAAGATGGAGGAAAGCTTTGATGATCGAAGCTAAGGACTCTATCTTTGAAGAAATCATGATTAAAGGGTTGTCAAGCTTGAAGATTAGGGAGGCTAAGAAAGCTATGGTTCAGCTGGAAGGTTTCGAAGGGATTGAATGGCTGAAGAAGTTTGTAATGGGAGCAAGTTCTAAAGGTAAACAACTAAATAAGGAGTTTGACTTAGAAGAAAGAAAGAGGTATGTGCTGGAATTTAAAAAGAATGCCAAAGATTTCTACAAGGGGGATTTTCTGTGGCAGGTGTCTATTGCTAGAGCAATTGCATGGTGCTTTTCATCTCAGCATACACCTGCTCTAGGCAACCGAACCGATCTTCAAAGTCATAAACCTTGTGGGACAAAAACTCAATATGAGCTCGACTGCTCTTCTTGAATTATTTCTTTAGGGTTCACCTCCATTTTGACATTGGCGTGTGGCTCCTCTGGGATTGGGGAAAGGTTGATCCTTCTGGGAACCATCTTTGCGATCAAGGACTTAACCAAAGATTCTAATGTAAGCTGGGTGGTAAGGCAGCAAAGAGATGGTCTCCTTGAAAGGTGAAGATGATTGAGGATTGGTGCGGGGGAGAAAGAGAATTGCTGGAGAACAGGGAATGGAAAGGTTGTGGAAGCTTGTAGGTTGGGGATCTAGAGACAACTCTCGTGTGTGGGTTCTTGTGTTTCTCCTTTTTATAGAGGAGATTCCAAAGTCATAAGGAGAAACGTCCAAATTAGGACATTTCCTTGATAAGGAAGAGGATCGGGATTCTCCGGTTCTAATTGGGAAAGCCATATTGGGGTTTCGCTATGTGTTTAGTGGGAATCTTCTGGGACTACGATTTCTCCTCCCTTAGGATTCTCACATGGTACGTTTTGGCTACAGAGCCTTGATGGGTTTTTTGCCATGTGACAAGGACAAAGTTCTTCTGGAAGCGTTGACCTGTCTAAGCAACATGGCAGTCACGATGGGGTGAGCCATTCGTAGCCAATCGCAGAGAGTAGGGGAATATGCTTCGTCTGGCTTTGTCCGGCTATTGGGTGAGGGTGACTTGCATTTGCTTCTTGGGTCGTCTATCGGCCATCCAGAGGGTCTCTAGTGACTCATTATTTTTATGTTACTGGTCGTCATGCTACTTATCACAGATGCTTTATCATTGTATCTTGTACCATTACAATCCTCACTGCAACTTGGATTCCCTGTGTGCTTGTAGTTCAAGGTTCTTATCACAACCTCTACGATACTAGGCTACATGTACTTACACTCACAACACCTTAGAAGGCAATTTTTGGCACTTTTCCTAAATTTCTCAAGTTTGTAAGGTATGATGTTTGCTTTGGCAATTCTGTTCTTTTTTGGGAAGATGTTTGTGGGTACTCAACCTCTAAAAGACCGCTTCCCCTCGCTTTATTTTGTCTCCCTCTTTAAAAAGGAGCTTGTTTCAAGGTTCCTTTCTCCCTTGGTTCTCCTATTGACTTTAAATTGTGACTTTGGGTTTCGTAGAGGTTTAAGGGACCGGATGATGAAATATGCTTGTGTTCATAGTTGTCAAGGCACCCTTGGAGGCTCGCCTCGCCCAGTCGCAAAGTAGTTTTGCATGCTGTGTAATAAAATACTTTTATATTATTTTTTTGAGATTATAATTATAAAATAGACATTATTAAAGAAAAATATTCATTTTTTGTGTTTATAAACTAATTTCTTTTTATTATTTTCTTATTTGTTAGGGTTTAATCAACACAAACATTGCTAACTGCTGTATTGAACCCTCAATGACTTCAAAATCTGAACCAATAAGTAAGGGAAGAACTTAAAATTTTGTCTAATCAACACATTTCTTCATCTTTTCCTTCTTCCACCTTTTCTTTTCTTCTTTTCCTATAACAAAAATAGGGGTTCAGCCCCTATATTTTTTGAATTTTCTTTCCTTTCTTCTTTTTCTTCTCATAAATATGTTGATTTTCTAGACTTAAAACATGAAGTTTATAATTTTCTTATGAAAATTGTGGATAGTTATTAAAGAAAGTTGGTTATGGAACTTAGGAAACTACCCTAGGATATGTGATTTTTACTTAAAAAAAATCCATTGCCTAGGCGACAAGGCGCCCCCCTGTCGCCTAGCCTCGCCTTGGCACATTGAAAACTATGCTTGCGTCTCTAAGCTTTTATTTCTTCTTGATTCTGTTTGTTTGGACCCCTGTAAACCTGATAGAAGAATTTGGACTTTAACTATTAGTGGCTCATTCATTTGTGTCTCCTTCAAGTCCCCTTGTTCTACTCCTTCCCCTTAGATGTTCCTCATTAAAGAAATTTGGTGAAGGTCTATGCCCCCTAAAATAGTTGTTTGGGAAGTCTATTATGGTAAGATCAATACTCTGGATAAGCTGCAAACTGGTGTATTTTGTGTAAAGTGCAGAGTGGGGACTGCCACCACTTGTTGCTATTTTGTTCCTTTGTTGCTGATATTTGGAATTGGGTTTTTATGTTGTTTGGGTGTAGGTGGAATTTTCCCTCTAAAGTAAATTTGCTCTTTGATCATCTACTTTTGGGTTGTGAATGAAGAGAGGGAAACTAATGTGGAAGTGTATTAGGGGAGGCTTGTTGAAGTAAAGGAGTGCATATTGACAAGGGAATTTTTTTTTTTTGGCTGAAAACTTCGGACCCTTTTATGAATTATTCTTATGATGATTTTCGGAAAAGTTGGGCAGAGATGGCTTTCACAGCCTCCAAAAAGAATAGATTACAAGCAGAAAAGGGACCCCCTATGGAGGGAGTTGTAAAGTTGTACTTTGATGGGAGTAATCAAGGTAATCCAGGACCTTTGGGTATAGGAGGGATTTTGAGAGATAAGGATAGCAACATTCTATCCTTATTTTCAGGCCCAATGGAAATTGGTGATTCTACAAGGGCTGTGATACTGGCCACGGTGCAAGTAATACAGGTTGCCAACCAACTTGGAGTGGAGAACTTGATAGTTGAGGGGGACTCTAAGGTGGTAGTGAGTTGGTTGTCAGATCTAGAAACAGTTTTCTGGGGCTACAGGGATCTTCTCAAGAAAGCTAATTGGCTTACAAATAATATGCCAATCAGATTTCAGTGGATTAGCAGATCAGCAAATGCCATGGCTGATTCTTTGGCTAAACAAGGGGCTTCTAGGGTTGAACTGTTTTGGGCTACCTTATAATTGTATTCTGTCAAGAGTGTGGTTATGTTGGGATCGCACATCACATCCCTATTGGGATGGCTTGTCTTGTAAATCTCGATGTAATCCCTTCACTTTTTTAATAAAACTCTACCATTTATAAAAAAAAGGAGTGTGGTTATGTTCTCATTTCTGAGGGGAGGTAACATCTCGTGGCTCCTCTTAGGGTGACTGTATACTTTCTTCTCTTATTAATAAAATTGCTAGGGCTCCAAGTCGGGCTGGGTTAGGTCAGGTTGAGGCCAACCCTAGACCAACCCGACCTTCAACTTGACCTACCCAACCCTAACCCTAACCCTAACTAAATTCCTTCAACCCTAACCCAACCCAGCCCAACCCGAAGTTGAGCTGGGCTCGGGTTGGGCCCAACCCTACCTTCTTCCATCCCTTGAAATCTCATAGAACTTCTTAATCTCAGATCTTAACTCAACTTTCACTACATATATTAATCCTATGTTTTATTAGTATTTGTTTGTTGTTTTTATTGGTTTTTTAAGTACAAAATTAAGAAAAAAAGTGTTTGAAATGACTATAGTTTATTATGAGTTATGACTTATAATAGATCTTTTATGGACAGTAAGCTATGGGTGGAAAACAACAGAGAGGAGATAAAGAATGAAATATTCAAAAACCATAAAATATGTTATTAAGGTTTTAGTATTTCTAATTAGGATTAAGTGAAGTGATTCTTTTAAAAGAAATAAATGATGGTATGTGGTGGGGGCTATACAACTATCATGCATCTAAATAAATCAATGTATGATATATCATATATATAATATATTTATATATGATATGTACTATAGAGTCAGGTTGCCCGAGGGGTTAACCCTAACCCAACCCGAAGTAAAGTCGGGTTCATAAATTTCAACCCTAACCCTAACCCGAGCATCAACCCGACTCAACCTAACCCAGCCCAAGTTGCAGCCTTAAAAATTGCCATTCATTTATAAAAATAAATCATATAGTGTGCATGCGAGTAGGGGGTTCCATCTCCTTAAATTATCCCTATTCTATTAGTATGCTGTTGGTGTATACAATTGTGGTCTTTTTCACAATACCATCTCTGTATTTCCCTAATTTAATGATATAAGAATTGTGCTGAGCTGTCTTTAATTTAAATAATTTGGATCAGTTGCCACATATGTTGCCATTGGAAGAAGCTTTTGCTGCTGCAGTTTCTGCACTGGATATTCAGAATGAAGATGGGGTGGTTGTTTATGATGGAAAGGGAATTTTCAGTGCAGCTCGTGTTTGGTGGTAAGAGTAGGCTTCAGAGTAACAGTAAAAAAATGCTAAAATAACAGATTTCCTTTTATAGCTAAAATAGCATTTAATTGATTTAAAATAGCATTTAATTAAATTGCAAGGATGTTTCGAGTGTTTGGGCATGATAGAGTTTGGGTGTTGGATGGAGGATTGCCACAATGGCGTGCTTCAGGATATGATGTTGAATCTAGTGCTTCTGGAGATGCTATTTTAAAAGCTAGTGCTGCTAGAGAAGCAATAGAGAAGGTTTATCAGGGAAAAATGGTATGGTTGCTTATTCATGCATGTAGATGCAATGTTTTGTATTGTTCTTCGTCTGTTATCTGTTCTATTAAATATTAGATATGCATCATTTTTATCCTCATTTCTATACAATGTAGGTGTTGGTTTCTGGACTAGTTTCTATGATTTTTTGTCTCTTAACATTTTATGCTTTATTTTTTTTGATAATAAATAAACAAGAAAAATTTTTATTAAAAAAGAGAGATTACATCAAGGTGATGAGGAACCACTAGAATCAAACAAAGTACACTAAGCAAGCAGGAAACACTATTACATCAACAACCAAAAGCATACTCAGACAGTTCAAACTCGGGTAGGACTAAAACCCAGTCCCTTGGTCTTTTCCCACTCAAGAACACAATTTGTTCCCTGGTTTTTGATTATCCACCAAAGATTTCTATTTCTTTCCTTCCAAAATTCCCAGCAGATTGCTAAAGGAATGCAGCTCCATACAATACCATAAAGGCTGTAAAAGTATCCCCTCATATATTTAGAAAAGTAACATCCAGCAAACAAATGCATCACATTCTCCCCATCAGCCATGAAAGAAAGCATCTACATGCCAATTGAAAACCTCTATTCTTTATTATGATCTTGAGTCAGAATACTAAAAGAAAGATTTCCAGCTAGTAAACTTAGCAAGAAAAAGATTGATCTGGCCTTTCAAGGTTTTAAGGCTAATGGTGAGACCTGATATCATTTACTAATCTCCTGCCCATTTGTTGCTTGCATTTGGGAAAGATTCTTGTCTCTCTTTGGTTGCAGGGGGACAGTGCCTTCAAATATGGCAATGTTGTTCTGTATAGAAACCTTCACATGGTCAAGAAGAGAGAGAGTTCTGTGGAGATGCACAAGATCAGCAATAGTGTGGACAATATGGGAAGAAAGAATACAATGATATTCTGTAAAATGATAAAAGAAGTATTAATACACATTTTTAGACTATTATCTTATTCCCAACTATCACATAAAGCCAAGAAACTAAGATCAATAACAAATTAGTAAACAATGAAGTTGTCCTACAGACTTCAATAGTGAACAATTAACACTTAAAAGTGCATAATTTATTATATAAATAAAAACTAAGGTTTAACATCACATCCAAACCATCACACAAAGCCAAAAAACTAAGATTGATAATAAAATGATAAACAATTGAAATGATCCTACAAGCTTCAAGAATTAACGGTTTACAGTTAAACTACATGATCTATTACATAAACAAAAACTAAAATTAAAATCACATTCAAAAAGAACTTCTAGGTGGCTCAAGGTGGTCATCATCTCCATTGCTAACTCATCATACTATGATACCATCTCCTGTACTCCACAAAGCATTGGTTGTTTTCTTGGTCAATTCTTTGAGAAACTCCTATTTGGGGTATTTTCCATATCCATATCCATGTTCATATCTATACAGTCCAGGGATACTAGCATATAAAGGTGTTAAGTGAAAGCATTGATGATAATATAAGCAAGTTATGATTTTACTTCAAAGGAAAACTAATTGGTTTACATGAAGAAAAGAAAACTACCACCCCCATACAAATTGAAGGAGAACATGCGAACAATAAGAGCTATATAACTTCTGCAAACAAAAAGAACCTCAACTGAGAATTGGTTGAACCTTGGTTGGGCCCGTATGGAGCATGGATTAAGCTTTAGTACTTAGAAAAAGGTTAAGCGTGGCTTGAATTTCTTGCAACTTTTCTGTTGGAATTCTATGGTTTTAAAAACGTTACTTTTCTTGTTTTTTTAAACAAAAAGATCCACATGGATTATTTGTATTCAATATTCCTTCTGTGTATACATATCTTCCCTGTAGCAGTTGTTGGCTTCTTCTTACTAATTTCAATAATGAGATTATTCTCATATTTCTTTTGACAGCATAAAAAGTAATTTTAACAGCATGAAAAAAAGAGTAATTCTAAGTTTTTGTATTGGTAAAGTTTCTTGTACATGGGGCATCTCCTTGAACTCCTATAGTGTGGCCAAGATTTAGAGTCAACACTATGGTCAGTCTTATTATTATTATTATTATTATTTTTATTATTATTATTATTATATATATATTTTTTTTTCAAAGAAGGTTTTGTTGTAGTATCTTCAATCAAAGCAAGGTGTGGCACACGTCTACTATGGCAATGGGTTAAATTGTATATAGACTAATTTGAAATATGCTAGGTGCTGAAACATTCTGTGTTCTGAAATTCAATCAAAGATGTTTTTTGGATCAATGCCAAAAACAATTTTATTAATGAACAATTAAGTACAATGAAAAGGGGGAGAGATAAACTCTCTTAGCTCTCCCTAAGGAAATATCCAGTTACAACATAGTCCAAAACAAATTGTTCCTTCCCACCCCTTGTTTAGCCAGTGCGTCAGCAAATGCATTGGCTTCTCTACTCACTGAATTGAGTGTCACCTCTACCCCTTGTAATTGCCCCATCACCTTCCTTTTTTCAATCAAAGATTGTAGGCCTGGATAGATCTATCTATTAATAGCAATCTAAAAAATTAACAGAAAATTGGATTTATTGCATAGAATACAAAACTGGAATTGTTTCCATGCTAATTCTGACAGAAAAAATAAAAAAAATCAGCCAATAACATGGGCCTTGCAAAAAGGACTGGACACCCACTAATATTGCTATCTATAGATATGAATGTCGATGTTCGATTGAAATCCTGAAGATTTTACATTTTCCTCAAAAAAAAAAAAAAGAAATCCTGAAGATTTTAATGAAAAGACCAACTATGATTATGATATGCTTAAATTTTGTGAAACTAAAAGAGATGCATGTGTCAAGCTGGAGACTAAAATAATGGACTGGACCAATAGTTAGGTTTGAAGATGGTCTAAAAAGGTTAGAAGTCATGTTGGCTTTCTTGGGCATGGGTAAAACAAACCTAACCATGTGTCAATGCACTAACTGCTTGATCCCCCTCCCTTATTTATAGGTCAATAATAATCACATGAAGACAAAGAAAGAAGAAATCAAATCAATTAATTTACCATGCTTAGGGTCGTCACAGAGGCATGGGGTCTATAGATGTGGGGGGTATGGGATTTGTAGTGGTTAATGGGACTCTTGTGAAAAGCAGGTTATTGGGCGCTTGGGATTCACAAATGTCTAATAGAAAGAAGGTCCATAGAAGGGGGTACTAGGGGTCTCACTAGTGGAAAATCTCAAAAGGGTTTGGGTTTCATAAGTTGGGGCTTGCACAGGTCTCGACTCTCGGGTCTCATAAATAACATGAGGTCATTGCGAGGTCCAGCTGGGACACAAGGTCTTGTTAGGAGAAATCCTGGAAGGAAATCATTTATTTGGCTTGCTTCTCACCAACAAGACAACCGCAAGAGGAAATCACTCAAAGAACAGAGGCCATGATGTCACACAGTTATGCAGTTAGTGTACAAACAGCACTCACTGCAAGGCCTTGGGGCTACAAGGCCACAAGACCGCCCCGTAGGTGGGATTGATGGGTATTAGGGTTACAGGGTTGTGAGACTGTGGGATTACCTCACAGATGAGATCACTTCATGATATGGGATCACTCAAGAGTCCAAAGTATTTGTTTTTTTTTTGAAGCAAATTCTAGATTGCAAACTACAGACTGCCAAGGAGATTGCAGGATTGCAGGGAAACTAGGATTATAGGATTTTAACTGGAATTCACAGAGGCGGCTAAGAAAACCACTAGAGATCAAAGTTCTGAAACACAAATTGAATGTGCATGCCACTGCAAAACAAAACACATTACTTTGCACAAACCCAGTGTTTTAAAAGCGCAAGGCGCAAGGTGAGGTGCGTGCCTTTTAAGCAAGGTGCAAAAATAAAAAAATGCTAAAAAATCAAAAGAAAAATTGTCAGGAAAATAAAAAATGCAAAAAAAAATCAAAAAATTCTTAAACATAATATTAATAAAAATATAAACTTAAAATTTAAAATAAATGTTTTAAAAATCCTATTGTCTAAAATTAAAATACATAAACATAACATGTAAAGCATATTTAAATGAGAATTTAAAATTAAAATCAAACATATAAAACGTTTTCAAGCATGTAAAACCCACAATCTCTTTTTTTCTCAATTGCATCACTTTAAGTAGTTAATGTGATGTAAAACATATTACATTCCTGATTCTATGAGCTGCCTTTGTGCCACACCCCTCGAGGCAAGCCCAACCAAGTCCATGTTAGGGTCTTAAATTCTTAGTTCTCACACAAAAAATAATGATTTTATAGTTTTAATTGCTTTTTAAGAAGATATTTTATTAGGATGAATGAATGAACAACATTACCAAATAGCCGCTGGGCCGGCCCAGCCACTAGACTCAAAAAAAGCAAAAAAGTATCAAATTTTCAAAAGGCGCAAGCCTGGGCTGAGGCGCAAGGTGCACCCGGCGTGTGCCTTTTGAAAGGGCTACGCCTAGGACCTGGGCGAGGCACCTACCCTAAAATGGGCCTTGCCTGTGCGCTAGGCACGCTTGAGGTGCACGTTTTAAATCACTGCACAAACCAATGGGAATTACTAGAAGAGAGGAAAGAACAATCAACGAGCAACTTTATCAGATAACCAGTTAAGATCTGACCTATAAATGCCTAAAGTTGACAATTGACAGAAGAGATTGCCCTCCTAATCTTACCACCTACTCTTCTCTCTAAGCAGTGTTGCAAAGATTCAAGCTCTATAAACCGTGGGTCCAACAACAATGGTGATTCTGTTCCTGATGTCTGATTGAGAGAAAGGTTTCTAAACAAGGAGATCTGCTTGATGCCGCAACTTTCTGAAGTCAGTGATAGCAGTGATTAAATTATATACACAAGGAAGATCATGAATTCTATTTTGCTCATAATTAATGAAATACAAGAAAGAAAGTGGGAAAGAGCAAGAACGAAATCTGCACAAATAAACAGTTGATTTATTGGTGAAGCTGGGTGGAGGTTGTTGTTGGTGATTCGGCAGGATGCTCCGATAACAGCAGGCTGTCTTCTTGAGCATCTGTTGTCACAGTTCATCTCTGGAGATTGGAAATGAACCAGAAATTCTGGTGGTCGAGCTCCGAAGGTATAGAGGAGAATGGCAGTGGGATGAGTCAGTGATTGCAGAGAGAGGGAAAGAGAAAGGAGAAAGGAAAAAGAGGGAGAGCTAGAATGTGGGTCCTCTCCCCCATAATGGGTTTCATGGGCTTTTGTTGTTAATGGGTTTCATGAGTATAATGTTAATGGATCCCCATATGGGTATGGGGCCCTATTTATAATGATTTTACTTTTACAACTCCAGAATTTCCTATATTTTGTTTTTGCCTATTTTGCTCTTTAACTAATATTCCAATAATTTCTAACACTTAAATTGGTGCACACAACTTTGCTTTAGTAAATAATTGGTCTGAATTGGTCCAATCTGATTCGGGTTTATGCCAGGTCAGCTGGGTCAATGTACTTACATAAATCCACTGTCTTACACTAGTATTTTGGAACCATTAGGGTCTGGTTCGGTTGTGGGTCTAGGTAGTTTAATAAGGGTAGGGATCTGCTACCAACAAAATGCTCATAACACTGTCCCAACAACCAATTGCACCGTACATTGGGAACATCTCCCTTGTCAATCATGGGGAGATATTCCCAATGTGCGGTTGCAGCGGCTGGTTGGGACATGTTGGGAGTGTCTGGTTGGTAGCAGATTTGAACTCATTTAATAGTTAGGTCAGGATGGTTCTACACTGTTCCAAACCTGACCCAATCCATTGACAGCCGTACAGTTACCTTTTGAACAGAGCTTCCACTCAAATTCATGAAAATGTGATTCTTTGCATTGGGGTTTGAACTTATTTGGCTAGTCATAGAAGGGAAATTTTAGATTTTTGGTGCTGCTTTTTCTGCTTATCTGGTTTTCTTCAACCTAGAGTTGGAAGATCTTATGTGCTACTGATTTATTTCTCTTAGTAAAATGCTCTGATCTTGTTTCTCGTTTTTTATTTTATTTTATTTTATTGGGTTTGAAAGTTTGAATTATATTATACATTTGGTACCTGCTGGAAAGAATACTTTATTAGTGTTTTGCCTTCTCATTTTTTTTTGTTTTCCGTATTTTTTTATTACTATTTCTTATGGAAAACATTTATGCCGTTGCAGGTTGCTCCAATTACTTTTAAGGCTAAATTCCAGGCACATCTTGTCTGGACACTTGACCAGGTTAAGTTCTTCAGTTTGATTACTGCTGCTCATTTTATGAGATTGCAAAAAAATTGCCATAGAAAAATGTTAAAATGTAGGTACATTTACCTTTGCTCTTTTTTTTTCTAAGGTTTCGTTTTGTTATCTTGGATAGTAGCTCCAATTGGTTGTAGGTGCAGCCAAAATTACCTGCAATTACAAAAGAAATGTAAAGATGATAATTATAGTTAAGGGTCAATTTCTGTATGTACTACAATTCCCAGAATCAAGAATGTTATGATTGATAGTCATGCTGCTTAAGAAGTCAAATGGAGTGAGTTTCAAAACAAGATCTAGTTCCACTATAGGTATGGAGAATCACAACTATTTACTTGACCCAGAAGAGGGTTTTGACCCAGTACACATTAAAAATATACTGGAAAGACCATTTGGTTCTTGCTGCCTGCTGCTGTGTTGTGGGCCATTTGGATGGAGAGAAACAGAAGGATCTTTGAAAACAAAGCCTCTCAAATTGATGAAGATATCCAAAATATGACAAGATCTTTTCCTTGGCAATAACTTCAAATCTGTCTACAGACTAACTTTTTTGTATCTAGTAAGCTTTTGATGTTTTGTGAATGATATTACACTGTGCATTTGCTCGCTGTATTTGGAGATTCTCCCATTTACTTCACTAATCAGATTAAAATTAGCATGTTACAAGGAATGGCAAAGGACAAAAAAGACAGAAAATTGGAACAATTATAAGTCTGTAAGAAAAAGGAAGTTAAAAAGAAAGTAAGTGAAATTAAGTTTAGGGCTTGTGATGAGCATATCATAAATTAGGCACTAATGAGGGAGAAAAAGGAATTTATAAACTAGCATAAATGAGAGAAAGGATAGGTAGAGCTATAAACCATGTTAAGTGCATTAAATAGGAAGATCAAAGGTAAAAGATGAGGAAATCAGGCAAATATGGAAAAACTATTTGAACAGTTATTAAGTGAATATTGTTAAAAATAACATTTATCTTTGTAAAATTAGAATTGTTGAAGTGAAATAGGCATTAAATTAGATGAAAAGGAAAAAACGTTAGGACCCGATGGGATTCCAATAGAAGCATGGAAAGGTAGGTTTTTAATGATTAACTAAGCTATATAATAAGATAATGAAAGAAAAGAAGATGCCTAATGAACAGGGAAAGAGTAGTATGGTGCCTATATTTATGAACAAAGGTTGTATACAAAGTTATAATAACTATCATGGGATTAAACTCATGAGATGCAATATGAAACTTTGGGAGAGAATAATTGAGCACAAACTATGACATGAAACAAGTATATCAGAGAACCAGTTTGGGTTTGTTGTATTTCTTACTTTATGTGCCACAAGGGAACAAGTGTCCTTTTACCGTTTTATTGTAAAATCGCTACATATAAATTATGTGCTGGAACCAGCAGTTTATCTTTTGGCTTTCGATCAATTCTTTTCCCTCTTCTCACTTCTTTATTCCCTTGCTTTTCTGTTTTTTCTTTAATAATATGGTATCAGAGAAAAATTTCAGGGCCTGAGAATATGCTCTAATAGTAATACCATATTCTCTGATAGCACATATTCTCAACAGCAGAATTTCAGGGCCTGAGAATAGATCGAAGATGTTTGAGACAACTTTTTGGGGTTTGTTATTATTCTTTCTTGGTCATGTGCCCAGAAAAAAAAACAGTAACTATTCGAGAATATGTGGTTTGAAGATCCTTCTTTTAAGGAAAGGTTAAAGGTTTGGTGGGGAGAACTTAGACTTCTAGGAAGGGAGAAAGTAGTGTCTTTTGCCAGGAAGCTAAAGAAATTAAAGGAAAAAAAATAAAGTTTGGAATAAAGAGCAATTTGGTAGGGTAGAAGAAACAAGGAGAAAATGGCATTAAATCGAGGAGTTGGATAGGAGAGAGGCCCTCAGAATCTTGTCAGAAAAAGGAAAGGTGGAGGCAAATGTAAGAATTGGAAGAGATCTTAAGGAAGGAAGAAATTTGTTGGAAATTCTAGATGTAAATGGCTTGTGGAAGGGGATGGTAATACAAAGTTTTTCCATTCACTTGCAAATTGTAGAAGCAAAAACACCATTCTTAGTGTGGATATTGAGTGTTGGGATATAAGAGATGGTGAAGAGATCACTAGGCTGTTTGTGAACCATTTTAAAGCTCTTTTCGTAGATTTAGCTAGGGTGAGGTAAAGCTTGTCGGGTGTGGATTTGGACAGAATTTCAGAGGAACAATCCCTGATGTTAGAACGAAATTTCTCCCTTGAAGAGATTATGGAAGCTATATTTTGATGGAGAGATCCAAAGCCGCTGGTCCAGATGGTTTCTCTATGGCCTTCTACCAAGAGTGTTGGGATTTTTTGAAATTAGACCTCTTGGAAGTCTTCGATGAGTTCTTTCATAAAGGGGAGATCCCCTAGTGGTAAATGCCACATTTTTTGCATTGGTGACAAAAAAAAAGTGGGCAAAACCCCAAAATATTTCAGACCGATAAATTTAATAAGGAGTGTCTATAAAATCATTTCAAAAGTCCTGTTAGAGAAGATTAAACAAGTGCTACCTTTAGTAGTCTCACCCTTTTAGGTGCATTTATGGAAGGAAGGCAAAATTGTGGGTCAAATTCTAGTGGCTAATGAATGTTTTGTGTAAAAGAAGAGGAGAGGAGAGAGGTATTTGGTGTGCAAAGTGGATTTAGAGAAAACCTATGATCTAGTGGATTGGAAAGTTCTAGAATTACTAGAGAGGCTTGAGTTTGGAATAGAATGGAGATTATGGATTAAAGGGTGTGTCAGCTTTGTTCATTACTCAATTCTTATCAATGGTGTGGCAAAAGACTTCTTCTTGGCTAGGCGAGGAACTAAGCAAGGAGACCCCTTATCAGCCTTCCTTTTCACCCTAGTGGCAGAGGTCCTAAGTAGAATGTGGTGAAAGCAGATCTGGGGTGGAGAATTGGTAGAAATCAAGTGGTGGTCTTCCATCTCGAATTTGTTGATGACATAATTCTGTTGTGTGAGTTTGTTAATCTACACTTGGTGAGGAACCTGAAGTATTTGATTAATAACTTTGTGGGCCTGACTGGATTGGGGATTGATTGGAGTAAAAGTGGAATTGCAAGGATCAACCTGGAAAAGAGGTTGCTTCTGAGGTTTGCTGACTTACTGGGATGTGAGGTTAGGAATTGGCCTATTACTTACTCTTGCCTTTGGGAGGGAACCTTAGGTCTGATGGATTTTGGAAACTAGTAGTGCAAAGGTTTGCTAGGAAACTAGGCCATTGGAAATGGAATTCTATCTCTTTAGGTGGAAGAATCACGTTGATTAGAGCCACACTGGCCAACCTTTCCATTTACTTCCTATCCACTTTCTGTATCCTAACTAGGATAACATGGCAACTTGAGAAATTCATGAGGGACTTCCTCTGGGAACTGGGAAATGAAAAGAAGGATCGCCTGGTAAAATGGGAACAAGTTAGCAAACCTTAGGAAACATGGTGCTTGGGGCTAGGAAGCATTGCCTCTAGAAATACAACTGTACTAGGTAAGTGGTTATGTAGATTTCCATTTGAGAGAGACGGGCTATGGCACAAGGTAATAGAAAGCATTCATGGTTTGGAAGGTAATGGTCAAGATGCTAGTGCTCCACACTCCTCTTCTGTTTCTCCTTGGAAAGCTATTCATGAAGTCTACCCTTTCTTTCTTAATTCCATCAGGTTTGATGTGGGAAGGGGTGATAAAGTACAAATTTGCAAAGACTTGTAGTTAGGGGAGAATCCACTCAAAAACCAATTCCTAGACCTCTTTACTCTCTCTACTTTAAAGGGTGAAACTATGTCTAGACTAGTAACAGCTTCCCCAACTAGCTTAAGTTGGGATTTGGGCTTGAAAAGAGGGTTAAAGGTTAAAGAATGCCCTTCTTGGTCCATTTTCTTGACATTTTAGGGCAAGTGTTCATAGACCATTCCCTTGAGGACTCTAGAATTTGGGCAGCTTCACCAGATGGTCTCTTCACTTGTTCCACCTTTTTTAAAATCCTTGTTTTTCCTAACCCTCAAGGGGTGAACTTCCTGGTGGAAGAAATTTGGAGTAATCCTATCCCACCAAAAATTCAAGCTTTCTGCTGGAAAACTTTCTTTTGTAAGGTAAACACTTGTGTCATGCTGCAGGGAAGAAGGCCTTATGTTGCCTTTCTCCTCACTAGTGTTTCTTATGTAGGTGCAGTGGTGAGACTCTATCTCATTTATTAATTTCATGTCCCTTTGTGCATTGAATTTGGGAGTTTTTCTCTACTACTTTTGGGTGCAGGTGGGATCCCCCTCAAGATGTGGTGCATAGTTGCCAAGGTGATGCCTAGGCTACAAGGCACCTTGGGAGTCTCACCTCGCCTAATCGCCAAGAAGTTTTCTATAGTGTGTTATAACAAACTTTTATATTCTTAATATTTTGAGGTTATAATTATAAAATTGACATTTTTAAACTAAAATACTCATTTTGTGTATTTATATACTAATTTCTTTTTGTTATTTTCTTATTTGTTAGGGTTTAATCAACACAAACATTGCTAAATGCTGTATTGAACCCTCAAAGACTTCAAAACCTGAACCAATAAGTAAGAAAGAACATAAAATGTTGTCCAATCAACATATTTTCTTCTTTTTCTTTACTAATTTTGTGTTTTTATATACTAATTTCTTCTTCTTCTTCTTCAACCTTTTCTTTTCTTCTTTTCCTATAACAGAAATAGGTGTTCAACTCCTATATTTTTTGAATTTTCTTTTCTTTCTACTTTTTCTTCTCATGAATATGTTGGAATATGTTGATTTTCTATACTTTAACATGAAGTTTATACTTTTCTTATGAAAACTATGGATATTTATTAAGGAAATATGATTATGGAACCTAGGGAACTACCCTAGGATACATGTTTTTACTTGAAAAAAAAACTATCGCCGGCGGCTAGGCAACTAGACACCCCCTATTGCCTAGCCTCACCTTGGCGCCTTGAAAACT